ATTTCTTTCCTTAAAAATAGTCCTCAGTAATCCAAATCTGGGAGTCTCACCCTAGATGTATAGTGAACCCTGGTGGTAATGATTAATTTGCTCAGCTACTAGCAAAAGGTTGGAGGTTTTAACCTACCAGCAGCTCCACAGAATAAGACCTGGCAGTCGGTTCCCATAAATACAACCTAGAAATAGAAAATCAAGTGGGATAGATCCACTGTCAGATAGATGTTATCAGTGATGTCAAAATCAACTGGACATGTTAATCTACAGGCTAAATGTATTTTTGACTTGCCATCTGTATATTTTTTAACTTCCAGCTGTCCCCAGTAAGTACTAAGTATCCATTAGTGCCAAATATATTCCATTTGCGTTTAGATTGAGGATATTTTCTAAATCTTACTTTTAGTTGTGCTTAGTCTATAGCAAGCGTGTTTTAACAACTGACCCAAATCTATTCAGTGTTTTAGGTTTGTGAATATCAGGGTACTTGTAAAGAAATTTAAATTATACTTCTAATACACTACACTGGAGTTTGCTAATTAATGCAGGCAATAGGGAAGCAAAATGGTAAAGTGAAAATTATTTGAATGAGAGCTGTGTGAAATAACCATAAAATAAACATTAAAAGTATAATTTAGTTGGATTCCATTAGAACTTTTAAAATGTATTGTGAATATGTGGTGAAGAATTTGAATATACAGCCATGGGACAAAAAGTCATGACCGGCGTACAGACATTTTCAAAAAGTTACCTGTGTTGACTATATATCCTTTCACGCTTTTTTTCTGTGCACTTAATGTAAGCATGACTTTATCAAAGGTTTTGTATATAAAGCGGATTTTACCAAAGTAGTGCCTATTTTCAAGGATAGGTTAACTATGTATTTCAAGTATATTGAATAAAATAAGATAAAAGCTATTTTTATGGATGTGTTCATGTTTTAAAGAAATTGCTTGTTTCCAGATACTGTTGTGTGCTGGTATGAGAAAAGATCTACAGTAGGAACTAGATAAACGAAAAGGCTACTTGAAACTATAAAACTGCCACTTAAGGAAGGCTATAGAAAGCATCAAAATACCCAAAGGACGTTACTTTTGGGAGGGCTAATAACTTCGGTGATGCAAAAACAGGAAAGCAGCATATATATTCAGTGTTTCTCTTGAATGGTACATTGTACATGTATGTGCATACTGTTACAAAAGAGAAGGGCGACATGTTCAACTAGTGAAGGATATACTCAACACCCTACCACTGTTAGGTCAATCAGAAGTATTAATACTATGGTTCCACTTCAAAATGCATAAATTTATTCCCCATAAGTGGATGGCTGCAGACAAATTCATTAATTACTACACCTGTCGAGTGGATGATTGCAACAACAGTGGAAAAATGCTTTTCAGATCAGGGTTCGTAACAGTTTTTTAACAATTCAAGTGGACATTTTCTCAAATCATTGAAGTTTTATTTCAAGTCTGATGAGATTCTGTACAATAAACATGTTTTTTAGATTACAGAAAGTTGTGAAGACCTCAAAAATGAAGAGGGAAGGCTGGTCTTATTGTCAAGGCCCAGAAACTGCACAATTGAAATGGCTCAGCATTTCCTGCTTTAAGCAGTGATGTTGGCCTGGGCAAGCTTTCAGTTGACTAGGTACAGAAAGAGTTCGCATTAAGATCAACTAGTTCCAAGAGTTGATCTTTCCCATCGTTCCATTAGTGCTTTTATGCAGGATCAAAAGTAATGACCATTTTGTGAATGAATTGTAGAGAACAAGTTGTGAGCCACCATCCATGGTAGACACCAAAAACCAGTCACTACCATACAAGGACACTTCAAAAGTGGGAAAACAATGGGATTTCCCCACAAGCTTTTAGAGGTCCCCTGGTACATCTAAACCAGTAGGAGCCTGATCTTTGCAACCAGCCTAAAAACGGTATTGCCACTCACAGCTGAGCATTTTGAAGATGTGTATCAACGAGTCCTTGTTAACAATGGGGTTGGAATGTGAATAAAATGCTTTATAAACTACGGACTTGCTGGACCCTTGATGATGAATCCCTTCAGTCGCCCTGAGAAAACTTCTGAACCTTGAAGCAAACCATCCCAATCAAGTTAACACCTTTTTTTTGCAGTAATCTTGAGTTTCGGATTGGCTGAGATCAAATCGACCGTTCTAAAGACAGATTAGTGCATTAAACAGTTAAAGTAAATGGCACAGTGTGATTATTGTAACCACTATCACTGAGCAATTATATCGAAGAATGAATTTTGGTCATGTATAGTCTCACCAAAAACTAAGTAAATATTCTGAAGGCTCATTTGCTTTGCAAGAGTTGGAAAAGGCAGTGCATGCATCCCTGAAGAAAAGCCGCACGACTTTCTACTACTCTACACCGGGACCTAACCTAGCCTGCCTTTCAAAACCCCATAAAGCTATGATCAATCCAAACGGCATTTCTATTTTTCATCGCATCCACTTCTGGAATGGCCAATTCCAGAATCAGTATCAATCTCTCTCAACATCAATCTCGTTCAACTCCTCAGGCAGGGTCAAGCAATAAATACAGTTGGCCAACTCACTGTGTTTCTAAGGAACCAAAAGAAGTCAGAATCAAGACAAAATTTAATGTATGCACACAATTTTATATATAATGCAGCATCACACCATGTAGGGCATTTACTCTTTTATACATTCAGATATTTTTGAAACACTTCTTAAGGCTACAAAACAGAACATAGAAAAATAAACAGGAATATATTGAACACTTACAAAAAGTGATATGATAAAGAATATAAAGTACTATTTTCTTTTCAACACTTCAAAAGATATGTATACTTTTTTTAACAAGTAACATCACAAATGATCACATCTTCACATGCTTTTAAGTATTATTTGTACTCAGTGTAAGGCTATTATCATTTCTCATACATACACTGTTTCTAACTGTAACAATAATTTTTAATCCATTCAAGTAAATTCAACCCTAAAGCCGTTTCTCAGCATTAAGACATGCACCCGCCCCTTTTCTAGAATCTTCCAAAACTTGTACTGAGAGAAGAGGTGGGGTCCCTTTAAAAAAATAATCCTAATTAGTGGGAAAGTAAATAGTTGACACTGGTACAAAATCTTACTTCTTTGAAACTGATACACTGGAACTGAGCCATTAAGATTCTTAACAAAAACACAACAGTATTTGGGCATAAAACAGGGAGCAAAAAACAGTAAACAGAAATAGTGTAGCCAAATGTGCATTATCTTCAGCTACACTAGAATGGACCTTGCTTAGTACCCATTAGTGAAAGGCAAAAAATTCAACTCTTCCAAAACTGTAGATAAAACAAAGGAGGCAAAAATAAATATTGCTAAGTCTCTAGGATGGCTGAATGTTTTCTAAACCAGAAAAGGTTAGAAAGGAACTTTATTGCACCAAGTCAATCTGAAGCAAGTTTGCAGCTCACAGGCATTTTAATTCAACCTTCAGTCACAAAAGAAACAGCACACTGCAAAATTAGAGTTTGCATCAAATAAGTAGTATCAGCACAGTGGTTTGGGAAAGCCTACTCGTGCCGTCAAGACAAGGTCAGCTTACGTCTGCCATGCATGTGAGCAAGCACACTAGTTAGGAGAGCAGGCAGCACAAAGACCCCAAAGATGCCGGTGTCCTGCTGTCACGGGGGCAAGAAGGAGCTGCAGATTTCTGAGGAAATGGACTTGACAAAGAGAAAGATACATAATACTAAAAGGGAAGGGACAGGGGACAGCAAAAGCACCTAACTAAAAGAAGTGAGTTTTGGTCAGTCTAAACATTTGTTCAAAAGGTGTATGATCTCCATTGAAGCTCCACAACTGCCAACCACAACCTATTCTCAAATTCTCCAATTTTGCATCTTGTATAAATATAAAAGAATTACTCTTGTCAATTAAAATGAAGGAAGACACAAGTTTACTTGTCCTCGGTTGACCTCAGGATAAGGCAAGAATTCCCTGGATTTAAAAGAAACAAAACACCTGCATGCAAACATTGTCAAGACTCAAACGATTTTTTATTCCAGAGGCGACCAAGTCAAGTCCATCTGCTGAACTTCTCTGCCAGCACTCTTCCTTCAGGAGCTGTAACGTACTGTTACCACCGATTGAGGTAAGGCAGCGAACAATGATGAAAAGAACAGCATTCTGTCCAATCCACTCTTTAGACAGTCCAGTGACTGGGAACATAGCCCAGTCAAGAAAATGAAACTCAAAACAGCAACTCTTTTAGACTCCTGAGATTAACCTATCAAATTCTTAAATCTGCGTTCCCATCCAAATGTGATTTTCAGGAAAAATACCAGGTAAACTAAACCTACTCATTATATAAGCCTGGGCGGGGAAAAGTGAAGAACCCTCCAGCGGTCTTACTCATTCCATATTCAACTGGTGTTACAACAAATGATGGAAAGTAGTACCTCCAACAATATTCTAGCTTAAAGGTAACAACAGAAATTCCTACCAACAGGTTCTTTCGGGAATTTTTTCTTTCCTTACAACCATCCCAATTTTTACAATTTTTTTTACCTAGCACCATCATAATAAAATGTTATCTTTCAAAGTGCACTCTAAAAGTTCTATGTTACAAAACATCTAAATGCTAATCACTACTCAAATCAGCAGTTACACAGACATTAGGTAATTAATACAGCACAGAGGTAAATAACCATTATTACAGTACAGTGGAGATTCACTTAGCCTAGCTTGAATCCAAATATTTCTGTAGGTTACAGAGAACCCAGGAAACATAACTGCTTCAGTTTGTCAATTTCAAGTGAACTGTATGCTTTTAAAGTAATCTATTTTTAAAAAGCCACTACACATCGATTTGGGGCTTAGTATATTATAAGCAGAAGAAATTACTACTACGTTATTTTGCATAGCACTCAAAGCTTCCTGATCAAAAGGTCATCTTTTAACATAAAAAAGGGAAGTTTTTCACATTGTTATGTACAAATAGGAAATATATGCTACAGAAAGTTTCCCCCAAATAACACAGATGAATGAAACTGTGTCAATTCAGAGTCAAACCTTGCAGGAGCAGAGACAACACCTTGCAAGGGCAACTGCTAGGAATACTGCAGAGATTGGAGAGGAAGCGGGGTCAGAGGCATGTTGCCTAGGGGTTATAAACTGTAAAATGAAAAGCAAAACCATCGCTAGCAGCATCCTCTAGAGAGAAGAAAAATAACACACTGAAAGTCACAATCGTTCCATCTGTGACAAGTCCAAACATGCAAATGGTAAAGGCCTACACATAACCAATGGCGCAAGGAGAAAAGAAATTCAAAATGGAAAAAAAGAGTTAACTCCATAGAAACCTTGTCAAACTAAAAATGTTTGCATTTCTTCTCACAAAATATTTAGACTCTGTCAGTGCATTAGTGTTAAAGTGGCATTTAAAAATGTCTGCAGCTTGAACAGATGCAGGTTTATTCAAAATGCATAGCATCTACATTTCTTTCTAATAGGCACCATGATATTTACACCAGTGCTAAGAATTCTTGGTGGGAATTTCTAAGGATTTCTTGTTTCTTAAATGTCTACCTATTCTATCTGCAACCCCATATTCAACAAATACTCACCAAAATTCAAAAATATACCCTTATGTATATTAAAAGGACTATATACATTTCTAATACACAGGATAATAGGCTGCCTTATGTGTAATATTAAAGAGAAGACAGTATTCAAGTTTGACAGATATTGAGATGAAAGGCCTTTGGGTTGGAAGCATTTCAAAAAACAGTGTTTGAGGCTGAGAATTGTTTGAGCCCAGTTTTTTACTAAGGCATTGAATAATAAAATAGACATTTCTATTTGGTGCAACGTTATGTTTTGGAATCTATAGTGTGTCAAATGGTACATTTTTCTGCCAATTTAATAAACACTATATAAAGCACATTTTTCCAACATTTGAAGTCAAACATATCATACAAGGAAAAAAAAATCAAACACTAAATCTATGTTTATATCAAGCTGTTTATAAAAGATACTTAGCTTTTCCTCTTTTTCATTGGGGGGGGGACAGTCACCCGATAAATGAAGCTTTTGAATGAAGATGGCCATACTGGGAACTCATCTGCCCCTTTGAACTCGTGTCCAAGATCTCTTGTTCACGATGGAAGGGGAGACGATGAATCCAATTTGGGTTTTTATTTTAATCAACTTTTTAAAAGCCTTCAGAAAACATTGCACCCATTGGTGTCTGCTTGACAACACTTCAGCTGCAAGTATCAAGTGTGCTGTCCCCGATGGCCATCTCCCATCCCGGACCTCCTCCTGTCCCCCCTGTACGGCCGTCCTCGGGTGTTGCGATGGTACTGATAACCTTCATCACGGTTTCGGTGTGGCTGTCCTTTCCAGGACTCCTCACTTCTTGTATGTTGATACCCTCCCCGGCCAGAATAACCCCAATCACTTTTGTACTTTCTGCCTCCAAAAGCCTGATTATAGAACTGCTTGGATCTGCCACTTCTTAAAATATTAGACACTTCATTTTCATCTTCTGAACTCTCTTCTTTTGGTCTTTGTACTCTACTATCCACCAAGTTGGCCCCAGGGCTAACTACATCAGGGACAATTTTAGGGTCCTTCACTTTTTCTGGCTTTTCTTTTACACTTGAAATGGTCCTTTTAGGTTCAAGTTCAATAGAGGTTGCTTTCTCTCGGTTTAGAATCTGAGTGGGAAGATGAGCCTTTCCCTCTGCTGCAGAAGGGGTGGAAGCCAGGGCCAGATCTGCCTTAGGTGTCTGGGATGACTGCTCCACCCGGCCTTCATGCTTACTGGTCATAACTGCTTCCGGGACAGGGAGTGGACCTTCACCACTAGCCTCCTGAAACTCATCAACTACTGAAATTGAAGCACATTCTTTAGACAGATCCAGATTTTCCAGGGGCAAATCCAATTCTCCTTTCTCATCAGAGGCCAGGACAATATTCTGCCGCATTACTGGATTTTCGATAAATCCCTGAAATGGGTAGCCATACCAAACATGAGGAAAGAAAGGAGGTGCAATGGGAACTGGGCCTAAGAATGGATTCGGCCCAAAGGATGGTTGTGGGAACATATTCTTGCCACCCATCGACTCTTCATATTCAGCATGAAGAAGGTGCCCAGGGTTCTCGGTTTCAAGATCAGGCTGGTAAGACAAATGTCCATGACTTTCAGACACTTGGGGTGGAGGGATAACCAGAGGTGAAGAAAACGTTGGCTGTCCAATCTCTGCTGGTGGGATCTGACCATTAACACTGGCCTCAGTCTGCATAGGAAAGTGTGCATCTGCACAACTACAATCACTTTCATTCTGAGTAGGAGGAGCTTCTTGGAACCAAGGGCTATGAGGATACAAAGGGACATGGACCTTTGGGTACATCCTGCAGGCTGCCATGTAGGCCTGGTGCAAAGGATACAGGTAAGAATGTGGAGCCCACATAGGACAACTGTAAGCCTGAAAGAGAAACAAAACATGATAAACAAAGAGGTGGGAAAAAAGGGATTCGCATGGCTATCTATTCAAAACAATTAGGTTCAAGATAAGCACCTCAGACAGGCATAAGACCACAGGCCATAAAAGCTGCTGTCCGGGTACTAGATCATAAGACTCGGGGACAAAGTAGTACAAAATTCAATAGGTGCTCTAAGACTCTATCCCTTGTTCTTCTATCCCTGTCCTGAAACCAACTCAAGTTTCTAGTACAGAAGTTGACATGAGACAATCCAACGAACCCATCCAGATGACTATGTTTTCATCCTATAAAGATAATTTCTGGTGGTAAAATATTTCAAGAACCACCACCACCCAAGAACTTGTCTCTCCTCTAAATATCTTTGCCGCTGCCCATTTAGACAGACCTGGATTCACATTCTAATATTATCACTCACTCACTCACTGTGTGATACCTAGCCAGCCACCTGTCTGAACCTGGTTTTATCAATAAAATGGTGGTACCAGATGGACCTTCAAGCTCAATTCTCTAAGCTACCTGGGCACTACAGTAGCAAGAATTAAGGTAAACTGCTAGAGAAAGAGTAGAGAAATGCTGACAGTGAAACATTCCCAAACTCTTCCCTTGCCAAGGTGCAGCTGAACACCAAGAAACGGTATCAGTTACTCAGTTGGCAAAATTAACCAAGAAATAAAGCCAGTATTAACTAAATATGAGACTAGCCAATGAATACAATGATAATAAACAGTGAAATTAAAACTAATTCTCAGTAGATGATGTCAATTCTCTTTTCATGAAACCAATCAGTAGGACATTCATTTGATATGTTAACAGCCTGAAATTGATCTAGAACAAGAGAAGAAAATACTAACAAAGGTCCAGAGTGCTCCAGCCTCTTGTTTCAAGGCAAGCTACTTCTGGATTATTCACTTCCTAAAAGATATGCTATTAAACAACCACATCTCCAGATATAGGAACATGCACTTTATTTCCTTTTGAGTCTTTCCACAACTGAAGCAGGTACATTACATTATCATGCTCACCCCATAAATAATCCAGGCTAAAAAAAAGCCCTCAAAACTCACACTCACACTGCCACTGAGTCTATTCTGACTCACAGAAACATTATCGAAGACCCAGCTATGCTCAGATACACTAAATGGCTCGCCCTGGCCTAAATCGTTACAAAATGATAAAGCGGAACCTCAAATTCAAATCTTTCATTTAATTCCCAAATGGGAGCATTTAAAAAAGACTGTCCAAAGACATGGCCATTTCCTGAATATGGTCACAAGGTGGAATTATCAGTAATGAAGAGTAAACGCAAAAACTGAAGTCTCAATCACCACTACTTGGTACTGGAAATGCTGGTCCCTAATATGAGGCGATTCTGTAAATCCTGTTACTGGTCTGCTAGGACCGAGTATCAGAGTTACAATGAACTACACTGGTGACATTGTTTTTATTTCACTTATGACAAAGAATAGCCTTCTAAAAATATGAATAATAAAAGGCAATAATCATGGGGGTGGGGGGGGAGATTTCATTTAGATCAGAACTAACTTACAGTCATCAAAACAAACACCACTGTATATTAGGGATTACCTATACTTTAAAATAGTAAAAAATTTTAAATATATACTTACCTTCACACCAAGATTGAAGAAGAATCGAAGAATGTTCTTATCTAAAAATAACAATCACTCATTCAATTATACACATATTAAGTCTCCCATCCCAGTCTACCCATATCCTAAAATAATACAAAGATATCCTCAAGAGAGGGTCTTACAGCTCCAATTACCTACTGGAATTGTTCGCTCTCACGTATAATACACAAACAGATTGTAACTATAATATAATCCCAAGAACTAGGCTCTGCTGTCAGTTGCCACTGAGCTGACGGCGACTCAACTTAATAGCGAACTTTGGTTGCTTTGGTCTGGGTGCCAGCCCAATGCTTACCGCCGTGTATTTTGAGTGCCTTCCAATCAAAGGCACTCCTCTGCCAGCACAATAATGGACATTATTCTCATATGAGCATACATCTGCTACATTTTTGGAAGCCTGTATCACCAGGGTTTTCTTTCTGGCCTGTCCCAGTCTGCAAGCTGGTTGAAACTTATCCAATGTACTTTACCTTGGTGATATTTGATGAGGCACAGCTCCAGTATTCACAGCAATACACAAGTCAACATATGACAACAAACTGATTAATATCTAATAATTCGCTTTACCATCTTTGGTAACATTTAACTCCCCCAAATAACTTAAATTGGTCACTTCATCTGGCTAAAATGGAACTTATTTCTTTCCCAGCTGTTCTGTGGGTTTAAAACTTCAGTATTTTAAATGTTATGGTGATAGGAGGCAAATCACCATAAACCTAACTCATGAATAACATGGATTAGTAGGCTATTAGCCAAGGAATCCATTTGCTAAGGAGACCTAGTGGTTGAGTGGTTACATGCTCAGCTGTCATCCATAAGGTCAGCTGTTTGGAACCAGCAGTCACTCTAAGAGAGAATGGCATGGCTTTCTACTCCCCTCAACAATCTTGGAAACTGACAGGGACAGTTCGACCCTGTCTTCCAGGATCCCTCTGAGTTGCCACTGTCTCGAATATACCCAGTAACTAATAAAATTCACTTCCAAACAGAAAGTGAGACATTGAATCTAGGTGAAAAACATCTAAATAGCTCTTGCATGCAACAGATAAAAAAATCTTTTACAAACTAAAAACTGGGGCAAAGGAAAGCAAATTCCTTTAAGAAATTACTTGTTAAATAAGTATTAACATAGTTCTGAAATAGGAACTACTACATATTATATTCTTCTCCACAACTTTTTAATGGATGAAATAATGGAAATGGCTACAAAAATGCATACCAATAAGAAAGCCCAATAGTGTTTATGTGCCTGGCTAATCATTTGAAATTTTTTTCCAACTAGTTTTGGGAAAGCAATGACATGAGTAGAGTCCATTACTAAATACATAAAAGATATCTACTAATGAAGAACCAACTGAAATAGGGAGACATCTGCTTACTTCCAAAATCAGACTTCCGACTTATTCTGCAATCAGACTAGACTACTAATCACATCTCTTCATTTCCCTCTACACTTGATTTTCTTCATTCACTCAATGCAAACATGAAGAAGGGCCTTACCTTTAGGCAGGTCCTCCCCAGTGTGACACAGTGAGTAGGGTGGTACAATGGCTCGCTCTCCTTTTTCATTACAAGGAAAACCAGGATAGAGTGGGTCCTGGTAAAGGCTCAGTGTCTGAGGCAAAGGCATTAAGGGCTGGTTAACGGCCTGTATTGAAACAGGAACTGGCGATGGTGCTAACTGAGCTTGTGACACAGCAGAATCAGGTCCCGTGGTCAGAGTCTGTGTCACTGACAAAACAGGAATTTGAGCAGGAACACCTACAAAAAATGCATACAACTCATATAAATCACAAAAAGAGAAAAATTAATTCTCTACAACTGCTTCCATCACATTAAAAGTAAAGGAAGCTACACAATCAATAGCTTATATAAGAACGTATGTATACTTGCAATAAAAAGTGCACTTTTCTAATCAACCAAGGACTCTCCTGGACACACAATGAAACCAGTTCAGGAACATGCTTTGAGTTAATGTCTTGTAATAGTGGCCCTTACAAACATGTGTGAACCATAGGGTCCTTACGAAGGATTAAATCAGGAACCATAAGGGTTGGTCCACGGGAGATATGTCAAATGCTAGAATCAATTAGTGTTAAACAACCAAAGCAACAAGGGAGTCTATCACATCAGACACCACTCCTGGGATGAGTGGAACATCTCAAATTCATCCCACCCAAAAAAACTTGCCCATTGCATCTAGGAAGCAAAGCAAAGTACATGGCAAAGACATTCTGTGTGGCTCTCACAACTAACCCTGCTCCAAGGTCAGGCAACCGCTCACCTGAGACACTTTGGAATGTCTTTTAACTTGAAAGGCTATTTTGTTG